CCGGGGGCCGGTTCCGCGCGCTGGGATTTTTAAATGTCCCGCTCGAAGCCGGGCGCAGGAGCAGCCGCCTCGGCATCCAGCGCGGTGTAGGGGGAGGCGCGGATCCCGCCACCACCGCGCGCTCGCCCGCCGCCACCGCGTCTCGCCTCTCGGCTTCCCGTTCGCCTCCTGCCTCCAGCCTCGGCGCGTGCCCGCCTGTCCCCCAAGGAGACGGCTTCGGGTGAGGGCTCCGCTGGGTTGCCAGACTGGGACGACTAGCAAGGACTCCTGGAGCGTCGCGCCGCACCGGGCCGAACCGAACCGGGCCGGGCCGCGCGTGGCGGAAGCTGGGTCTCCGCGTCCCTGGAGACGTCTACGTGGGGTCCCCTGGGGAGGGTGACTGGGAGACGGTGGGAGGGCGAGGTGCTGAGGGGAGACTGAGGCAGCTCGGTATCCGAGGGAGGTGATGTGCTGGTGGGCGTCTCGGGGGTCGTCCAGGCCCCTCTCAGCCCTGGTTCGAACCCGGGATCGTGGGCTGTTGGCGGCGCCGCGGGTGACAGGCCACCCCGGGCCCATCGGCCATTTTCCAGGCCGGCCCGGGAGGCTCCCGCCGCCCTCGTCCGCGCGGGAGGGGGAGGGGGAGGGGTGTCGGGGCGGGCGGGCCTGGCCCCTCTTACGTCTCCCACCCTCACCCTCACCTCCTCGTGCCCCCCAGGCCTCTGGTCGAGTCCGCACCCAGCGCCATGCCGACCGAGAGGAGCGAAAAGTGAGTGGCCGGCTGCTGGGTGGGGGAGGGCAGCGGTGGGGGAGGGGGCAGAATTTGAGGGAAACTTACTACTCGGGGCCACCCGGGTTTGCAGGGATGCGAAGGACCTGGACACCATGAAAGAGGAAAGCAGCAGCGATCTCTCTGTGCGCTCCAGGAAAAGGAAGGCGAATGTGGCCGTTGTGAGTACAAAGGGGACAGGTGGGGGAGGATCGACCCCCTTACCTGGTACCAGACTGGCCTCTGCCCACAAACTTGTCCAAAGGGGATTAGATGGGGTGCCGTGGACCAAAATGGTGTTTGTAAAGTAATCGACTTTCTCTCTTTCTCTGTCTATTTTGTCTTTGGGTTGTTTTATGTGTTTCTCGGTGTGTGTGGGTGTTTGTGTTAGTTTTTGCAAGATCCAGATGAAGAAATTGCCCAAATTGAGAAGACTGTGAGAAGCCAGTGTGGCAGTCAGGTAATACTCTAGGCTGGCTGGGCCTCCCTGGGGGCCTCCCACTCCTTACTGTTCCCTGGGAGTTAGACTTTCTTGCTTCCTGCCTAAGGTTTTCTCTAACGACATACAGTCCACACAGCTGAGCACTGTGTCTGCCAGGCGGGGTGGGGGTGGGGGGGAACCTTGGAAGGCCTTGTGCTCCTGATTGGCCCCCTCTGAGGCTATGGAGATGTGCTGTCTGGAAGAACCGGAACAGACATCGAGTCCTTTAGTTTTCCCTCTGACTCAGGAGCCTTGGGCACCCCCAACTAACTGGAAGCTCGGCAGTGCAGACCCCACCCAAAGGTGCCCAGGAAGAAAGGCCGAGGGACCTGGTTCGAAAGCGTCCCAACCTTAATCCTGTGGACCAGTTCTACCCTGCCACACATGGGGGCGCCGTGAGTCAAAATCTATGACTGCTCAGTCCCGCCCTCCCACAGCTCCCCCATTTACTGAGAAACTGAGGCCCAGTTAGAGGAAGAAAGTAACCCAGGGTTATTTGCCAGCAAGGGGCAGAGTCTGGCCTGTAGCCTTGTCTGCGAAGACTTGGGAAGGAGGGATGATTCTGGACAGCTTTTTTGGGGTGGCTTTGGTGATGGGTGCTTGTTTGAGAGTGTAAGCAATGACTGAGGCTGTTTTTGTCTTAGAGCTGATGGACTTTTTTCTTGTACCCCACCCCAACCCCCCTACTTAGGTCAGGCTTGGAACCTTCCCCTTTATCTGGCCCAAGAACTTTCCTTCCAGCCCAACCAGCAGTTAATGTACTATGATGAGGATTCATCTGGCCTCGGTGTTAATAGAACATTCTGTGTACCAATGTGTGTATGTCTCTACACATTTTTCTTTGACGAGTCCATTTCTCTGGCCTCTCTGTTGAGTAGTTTCTGCCAAATTTCCCACATACAGGCCTGCTATCATTGTAATATCAGAAGCTCCCTGCTGAAAAAGCTTGCATTATCTCGCTCCCTCCAGAAATGGCTGAGACTATAGTGATGGCTCAAGTAGGGGAAGCAGACACTCTCCAAACTGGCTGGTTAGGTCGAGCATTATCACAGATAAAAGCTGAGCAGGAGTGGTCTTCCAGCTGTGGCCCCAGCTGGGTTGAGGCAGTGGGCATAGCTGTGGCAGCTAGGTCTTTAGAAGAGTGAAGGGCTTCAGAGCTGATAGGCTGGCCACGTGGTCTGCAGTCGTGGGTGTCATCACTGCCCTTAAGACTACGGTGGTAAGCATTTCTGAGGAGGAGTCACTGAGCACTGCACAAAATTTCATTCTGGGTAGAAGAAATACTTCGCTTTAGGAAAGGTAGCACATCCTGAGTATTTTTTTTCCCTTTTATGCCTCTAAAGAGAAAAACAAATTAGTCGAGCAAATTGATTTTGCAAGTGTAAGACAAATCCTCACTTGTGGAACTCAAAAGTGTTTTATTTTCCTAGCTGTGTTTCACATTGAGAGGAAATTTTGAACCTATGAGAAAGCCATCGATGTGGACTTCTTTTGAGTACTGCCTGATCTCCAGGATAACCTGAGCATTTCTTCAGGTGACAGCGGCAGGAGTCTGTGCCACAACTGTCGAGAGTTGATAGCTGCGCTATGTGAATAACTATTCTTTCCCACTAGCAGGCATTTTCATGGCTGCCCAGAGCCTCCTGAGAACACATTTCTGTGTGTGTGTGTGTGTGTGTGTGTGTGTGTGTGTGTGTGTGTGTAGAATAGAAAGTTTGAAATGGACCCATCTGTTATGGAACAATGTCTTTGTTATTGCTCTGTAGGTTCACGAAACTAGAATTTGGGGACACAACAAAACCTTTTAAACTATAATTTTATAGACTTAGGAGTGCTCTCAACAGGAGGTCTTGGCTGTAGTACAACATGCTACCAACATAGCCCCGGACAACCACCTCAGTTGTTCAGTGTAACTGCTTCCTCAAGGTCACACAGCAGTGGATTCTTCAGGCCTTCCTCAGTGAAAAAAGTGCCTTCATTTAAAGTCCAAGGAGCCTTGGTGACACAAATAGTGAAACATGCAGCTGTTTGCTGAGTGGTTGATGGTTCAAACCCACGCAGTAGCTCTGTGGAAGAGAGACTTGGCGATTGTTCCCCAAAAGAGCACAGCCATGGAAGTCTCCTGGAGCAGTTCGACTCTATCCCATGCCAGTGTTGGGAGTGAAAATACACTTGACAGCACCCAATGACACCTAACGCCCATCTAACATGCCCGTGTTGCTTAATGTTTTGCATGTGACCTAACATGAGTTTTGGGGCAGAATCTGGGACTCATTAATTCTGAGATAATTTACTTTATGTTGTTCTAGCCTTACTTGTGGCATAAGGGATCAGGGAGGGCTAAGAAGGGTCAAAGTTTCTCTCTTGTTTTCCCATTCTTTCCTAAACTCAGCCCAGTCTTTTTTTCCATTGAAACTCAGTATCCACTTAAGGACTTGAGCTTATTATTCTGCTTCATCTTAGCCAGACCAGCCTGGGGGACCCTTTGCCTATTTGTCGTTCATCTACTTGGTCTGTGAACTGCAAGTTGGAAGCTGCTACCGGTTTATCTCCAAAGGCCTGCTGTCAGCTGTGACATCTGGTATAGAGGGTAGCACCCAGCTTCTGCCTTCAGAACTAGGATTCATTCTTAAATGGCGAGCAACGTGAATTTAGGGTAGTTGGAATGCAGTTGAGTTAAGGAAACGCTGCCAGCACATGATACAAAGAGGAGGGTGCCCTGTGTCACTCACAGATGTTGGCAGGAGCTGTGATGGGTGGATGGATGCATGCCCAGTCTGGGAGTTGAGTGGAGAAGAGCCTTCCCTTACTTTGCTTTTCTCAGTAGCCTGAAGGTGCTCAGTGTGTTGGCCAACCCCATACCTCATCTTCCAGGGAGCACTGAAGTCCCTTATCTCAAGTCCGTGTTAATGGTTTTTCTGAAGAGAGGGGGGAAAGTCAAGACTCAGACTTCCATGGGGCTTCCATTGCTGGCAGAATTGCTGACTGCTCTATCTTCAAAACAGCCATTGTTTTAGACTTCTTCAAAATCAACTGCAGACTGCTTTTTAAAGTATGGAATTCCTCAGAGTAAGCTTCAAAAGAAAACACTGTAAAGGGTGACATGGCCAGTCTTTTCCAAGTTTTGAGGATTGGATAAGATTTTTGAAAAGAAAAGCATCTTGGCTTGCTTTTCAGGCACAGTTCATCGTTTTCACTGAGGCCCAGTCTTTGTCTTGAGCTCTGGGATCAGTTTATATATAATTTGTTTTCACTCATCCATTCAATCCCCTCAGTGGACCATACTATTCCCACATCTCCGTGTTAACCTGTTTTCTTTCCTCTTCCTCTCCTCACTCTCTGGACTTTTGTCCTTGGGTAAATGTTGCCCTTTTGATCTCCACTGGTTGACTCTTCTAACATAGGAGTGAGTTCATGTCCAGCCTTGTAGGGGGATGACAAACCATAATCTTGGGGGTTCTACTAGTTTGTTTGTTTTTCCCCACTAATTTCTATGCAGCCAGTAAGCCTGGTGTCATGATTTTGAACTTTGTTCCACATTTTTTTCCACTCGAACCTAGGACCTAATATCCCTTTCAAAATGGTAACTGGGTACTGTCAAGCCCTTCTGGTCTCAGACATGGAAACTGATGTGTGGCCTGTTGTCCTTCTGGGAAATTTGGTAGGGTTGCTATACATCAGAATCAACTCAATGGCAGTAAGGTTGAGCCTGGTGGTGTAAATGGTTAAATGAATCCACTACCAGCTGATAGGCTAGTGGTTCAAACCTATTTTCATCATAGTTCAAATAGTTGTAAAGGTTCTGTTTTCCAGACCATTGTAAATATTGATCATTAATCTCTGCTAATTAAGTTACTTTAAAATGTATCCAATGGGGTGCAAGATGTTAAGAATCTATGAGCTAGTGTGTCTTTAGCAGCCAGAGGCCCTTCAGAGAAAAATGACATCCTGGGAAACCCTGCACAGTTCCACTCAGCAGCTAACAACAATCTCACATATCTTTAAGCACACACAGAAGACTTAAGTACCTCATTGGAGGGAGTAATGTGGGCATTTTATCGTATAGATACCTCATCTGATTAAATAGTCATTACTGTGGCTTTTATTTAGCCCGATCATCTCCTGTATTTTGGCCTAGAGATTATTCTCCATTGTGAAGTTATTTTGCAAAATACTGCCTGATCTATGAGCCAGTGAATGTAAGAAAAACGTGTACATCAGGAACAAAACCGTTTTTTTCTTTTATAGCCTTTGGATAGTACCACAGTCTGTGAAAACCCCTGCTCTCTGATCCCCACACCTGATAAAGAGGAGGGTGAGCTGGTATACCCAAATCCCACCCCTGGTGCTTGGGGTTTCATGCCATCCAGGGCCTCGCCACTGCCAGTACTGAAGTAAGTGCTTTCGCTGTCTGCACGGCTCCCGGGTGTCATCTTAGTTTGCTCAGCGTCCTTGTTAGCGGAGGTGCTTTTTGACACATGTGTGTCTGTTCCACAGCTGGGCCAACCGAGAGGAGGTGTGGAAAATCATGCTAAACAAAGAAAGTACGTACTCGAGGGACATGCACTTTATGCAACGGCATCCTCTTCTGCAGCCTAAAATGCGAACGATTCTTCTGGATTGGCTGATGGAGGTGAGTTAAGTTGAGTTGCATTGGCTATTTCTAGAATCTTCTACGCTGTTATTATCTCTGTGTGTTTGGTTGTGTTGACATAGTCTGTTTTTGAAGCCCTGCGGTATGTTGCAGTGATCTAACTTTTGCTCGCATACTTACAAGAATTTCTAGTCTTTTAATCCCTAGATAATTTTGTTGTAGGGTGCCATTCTTTGAGTTGGTTCCTACTTGAAGTTGACAGTTAATCTGAGTTTAAATCGTTGCAAAGTTTAAAAGTTGCAGAGTTTAAATACATTTCCCATGCATTAAAAATGTTGATAATTCATCTTTGCTAATTAAATCACTTTTAAATATAGCCATTGCAAGAAAAAATTAGCCACTTGTTGTGTGAACAAGTGCGTTTTTAGCAGCCAAAAACTTTAATTGTTCCTTTTATTCCTTGAGGTCTATTCTCCTCCCTCTCATCGAACTGTATCCTAACCACATGAGGGTAAGCTAAAAGTATTGCTATTGGGATTCCAGTTCAGACATGTCTGAGTTTATTCCAAAGAAAACATTTTTACATGTCTCTGAGATCAGTGGATGGCTGCAGGCAAGTTCTCTCAGTAATATGCTTATCTTAGTCTTGTTAAGGGTGCCTTAAAATAAAACAAAACAAAAAAACCGCTAATCCAAATAGGCTTCCAAAGGGAACTGCTGAGCCAGTTAAATTCTAGGCAGAGAGGTCAGCTCTGAAGGTTGGGTCCCCTGAGGAAGCCCAGACTGATAGATGCTTTAGAAGTATATAGACCCAAACTGTTACACGGGGTGGGGGGAGTTGTGTGTAGACAGAGAGGGATGCTATATGAGAAGCTCATAACTTTTTGTTTTTATATTTTTGTTTAATAAAAGTTTCTCTGATTCTGTGGCAATATTCTTTGATAGTACCCTTGTGCATTGCTCAAGTTTTATTATCAGTTACCATCTCCATCTTCAGAACTTCCACGGGTTCTTGAAGCACTTGATGTAACACATTTTAACCTCTCGGGCTCCAATTCAATCTTTTAAAAAAGTTTTTAGAAGTTTTTTATTGAGAATTAGAGAAGGTTTATGGACCAGGTCATAGATTCCATTCAGGAATTCATGCACACTCTAGTTCAAGTGATCTATTGCAATCCCTCAGTGTACCGTCACTTACTTACCCCACTTCCTTCCTCCACGTGTTTCTGTGTTTCTCGTGCCACTACTTCCTACCCTGACTCTGAACTCTATCCTGGGCTAAGTGCTGCCCTTCTAGTGATAAGTGATCGGCTATTCTAAAGCGAATGGGAGTGCAATTCCAGCCCTGCAGGGTAATGGCCGCCTTGGTTGCTTATTGTTTTAAGATAGGTTCCACATCTTTCTTCCCCTCTAGCTAGGCTCCCATCCATTCTTAGAAAAAGACTGCATGTTCCCTGTAAATGGAGTTATGCCACTATACTCTGAAGGAATGCTTTGTAATCTTAAAGTGTTTTTCTTAAAGGAAATTTTAAAAGTCAAATAATACCATTGAGAAGTTAAAAAAAAACATGGCTATCTTGCTATGTTTAGTGGGAAAAATTTGGAGCCTTCAGTTCGAAAGAAGCTCTAGTTTCACTTTGAGTCAGATGGTAACTGTGTTATTTTATAAAAGCTGAGGCTAAATATCCTTTGGCTGAATCTACACTTTAGAAACAAACTGGTAATCGGTGGAACTTTCTTATTGTGTCCCGTTTCCCCAGCCTTTAGGGTACTTACTGACTTCAGTGAGGAGTACCTTCATTTAGACGCCCTGTTCCATTATGCCAGTGGGGAGAGCAGGGGTTCTCAACCTGTGGGTCGTAACCCCTCTGGGGGGGTCGAACAACCCTTTCACAGGGGTAAACTAAGACCCTATTTCTGATGGTCTTAGGAACCGAGATACCGCTCCTTTATCCGTCTCCAGGCGGGTCCACCCACATGCAGAAACGCCCACAGATGGGTCAGCACAGCACGAGGAACTGTATAGAAAGGGTCCCGGCATTCGGAAGGTTGAGAAGTACTGGTGTAGACTGTTTGTGAGAGGCAGGTGTTTGGAAAAAAGTTCCATTTCATGATGGGCACTTCACCCTGGGGTCTCATGGTGAAGTAGCGAGGCAGCTAACTATTGCCCTACCTTTATCATATGAGATCTGAGTTTAGTGGGCTTCCTCAAGGTTAGAACCTGGGTCTTTGGGTCTTTTTAAATGTTATTTTAAACAATTCTTGCCTGTTGTGATGTTATAGTCTTATATTCCAAGTTTTAAATTGTAGTAAAATTGCCCAGTTGTCAGGAAATACACTAATTATTTCCTTGAGTCATAATGAAACTTGTAATGAGGGATGCCATTCTTTGAGAGAATTAATAATTTTTCCGTGAAAATGCCACCTGTGAATTTATCTTCTTTCCCTACCTACCCTATGAACATTTGTTTTTACTATGCTCTAGACCTAATTCAGGTCAAAATTGTATTTATTTCCTTTTTTAAGGTGTGTGAAGTGTATAAACTTCACAGGGAGACATTTTACTTGGCACAAGATTTCTTTGATCGGTATATGGCAACACAAGAAAATGTTGTGAAGACACTGCTGCAGCTTATTGGGATTTCAACCTTATTTATTGCTGCCAAACTTGAGGTAAGTCACTATTTGTAGTCTACATCCTAATTGTTTCTAATGTGAGTCCTTTTTAAAGTTGATGCCTGCAAAAAAGCTAACAATTAACAGAAGAGGAGGAGTATGTGTATGAGATGCTAATGTTAGTGTAGTTACTTCAAGCAAAATAACCTTGAGCAGTTGAAAAGGGGTATTTAAACCATGGACTGCATGCTGTGGAAATGTGCATTTGGGCCTATAGATGTTGTGTGGACATCAGTGTGCCCTCTCTTTTTGTGTGTGTAAGTCAGAACGATTGTTTCCTCTTAGGAAATCTATCCCCCAAAGCTGCACCAGTTTGCTTACGTTACTGATGGGGCTTGTTCAGGAGACGACATTCTTCGTATGGAATTAAACATTATGAAGGTAGGCTACAAGTTGATTTTTTTTTTTAGTCCTTTCTAAATGTTAACGTCTTTTCCACATTAACGGAGAGGGGATCTGGGTAGGTGTTCTGTAGTTGGCCACATTGCAGCACGTAACCTGGCTGTGGTTTGAACTCTGCGAGGACTGAGGAATGAAGTCTCCCAAGGGAAGCAGCAATGTCTTCATTCCCCTTTACTCAACCCCCTGGCTCTTCTCTGTTTTCCTTTAGGCCTTAAACTGGCATCTAAGCCCCCTGACAGTTGTGTCCTGGCTGAATGTATACATGCAAGTTGCATACCTGAATGACTTTTGTGAAGTGCTGTTGCCGCAGTACCCCCAGCAGATCTTCATACAGATTGCCGAGGTGAACAATCTGCTCACTGCCCCCGTGGACCCTGGCCTGCAGCTGGCCCATAGCTCCAGCAGGGATGTAGCTGGGTTGGCTGCTTCATTGTTTGTTTGTTTTTCCTGGTAGCTTTTAGATCTCTGTGTCCTGGATGTTGGCTGCTTAGAATTTTCATACGGTATACTTGCTGCTTCTGCCTTGTATCACTTCTCATCAACTGAATTGGTGCAGAAAGTTTCAGGTATGTTGGCTTTCCAATGCGCTCATGAAGTACATCAACCTACAAACTACTTGTCACCCTCAGATTGAGTCTAAAAGCCCTTTATCTTTCAGGATACCAATGGTGTGAGATTGAGAGGTGTGCTAAGTGGATGGTTCCATATGCTATGGTCATAAGGGAGACTGGAAGTTCAAAACTCAAGCACTTCAGGGGCGTTCCTACTGAAGACGCCCACAACATACAGACCCACTTAAACAGCTTGGAGTTGCTGGTCAGTCCTGTTGCTTGCTTCTGCCCCACTTCCTCACACTGCCAACACAGCCCTCCACACTCCTGGTACCTTCCTAAAACCTGGGTGTTTTTAATTTCTTGAAAGATCATGGTCAGCAGCACCTGCTGTTCCTAAGCACGGTGTAGACCAGGTAATTTCAGACTATTCTTCACTGGGCACTCTTTATTTCTTGCCCTTATTGCACAGGAAAAAAAGGACACAGGAAGTGAAGCCCCAAGGATACTACATTCTTCTCGTTTTCACATTTCTCTTTTTCATTCTTATCAACAGGACAAAACCCAAGCAAAGAAAGCTATCTTGTCTGAACAAAACAGGATTTCTCCTCTCCCCAGTGGGGTCCTCACCCCCCCGCAGAGCAGTAAGAAGCAGAGCAGTGAGCAGGACACCATGTGAGCCCACCAGCCTCACCAAAGACAGTGTGCGGAAGTGCCTGCTTAGAACCCTCAGCAGCCTGCTGCAGCAGAGGCGCGCGCTAACTAACCTCTCCAGATATTTAAGTGGATGAGCATCCCTCTTCCTCAACCGGAGTCTTTCTATAAATGATTATCGGACAGGGAGGTGTATTTTATTGAATGCTTAAGATTTTTTTTTAAAAAAAATTAATGGGTCAAGTACACCAACCACCTCCAGAACACCAATGAATGCTCCCGATGCTGCTAAGGAGGGTGCTACTTGACTTGATTGTCCACATGGATAACAAAGGCCTGCCATGGAGGAGCATCACTGGCACTGCCGGCCTCCCCTGAAGGTGTTCTGGGCAGCGTGGGAGCAGGTGGCTGTGGGCACTGTCATCCAGTGCCCACAGCCAGCTGCACGGGGCTGCTGTACACAAGATCAGTTGACAATGTACAATGGCTTTCGTGAACTATTCTAAGTGCTGCTATGTCTGTCCGTGTGTAATAAAGGTTTTATGAGCTAAGTGTACTAACTGAAATTAGACGTCACCTTTCACTGTGGCTCTATCAAGATCTCCTTTTTGACTTGGAAACGCAAATCTTTCGAACCAATGCTTTTCAAAGAAATCTTTAAAATGACCTTCCTGTACCGTTCTGCCTGCCTCCTTCCCAAGGGCCTGGGAGTGAGGCTTCCATAGCATCTTCTCCGCCAGTGGCTTCTCCCGAGGGGAAGGGGTGCTGGCAGCCACAGCAGTGGTGGTGGTGAAGTCATCTTAGGGACTCGTAGGTCTTTTCCTCGAACTGCGTAAAAGCCACAACGAACTTTTGATTCGTGTTATTTAATGCTTTTCATTTTTTTCCAAATCTTAATGAATTGTTTGGAGAACTTATTAACAAAGTAGCCTAAAACTATACTTTTAAGAAAACAAAGGAAAATTCAGCATAGTTCAGGACATGAGACCTATTTGCTCCCTGGCTGTGGCTGGAGTTTCCCTGTGCCTTGCTCTATAGGAGAGGCTGCGCCCCCTGTGAGACCCAGTGTATGTAGCCCAAATTATACCTCGCTGAGCACCCTCCAAATGGAGTCTTGTCATATCCACGTGTTTCACTTTTTTAAGATGATTTGTTGGCATGTGTGGGTGTAGAACAAATGAGCAAATATATGCTATGATCTTTTAATTTGGCATTTTATAAAAATCTGTCCTTAAAGTCTTTTAAGATCTGTACTGTATTTATATAAAGTTGGAGAGAGACGCTATTTTTCTTGGAACATTGTGATGTTTAAAGTTCCTGCGAGTTTTAATACATTTCCTAATAAATGCATTATAAATCTCCAATAATGTTGTTGAGTTAACTGATACAGCTTGGCTAATTATTTCCTCATCTCGGGCAGAGAAGCTGTAGCTTCAAAAGCAGTGTTGGTTTCTTTTCAATGTCGTTTGGGGAGAAGTTTACGGAGCAAGTTGGTTTTCCATTCAACAACCCATACACATTTTGCTTGCTGACACTGGTGCAGTCACCCCCAATGTGGCCATACTCCTTCCACTCATTCCCCAGCTCTCTGATATTCTGTCCCTCTTTCCTGCCCCAGGAGCTCTGCTCTTGGGCACAAACTACCCTTTAGTCCCATGCAGGTGATTGCACTGAGCACATTGCTCTCACGGGTGGTTATTCAATTTATAGGCCTGTCCGTGGTTTGGCTGAAAGTTAGTCCCTGGAGATGGATTCTGTTCCAGGCCTGAAGCATGTCTGAAGGGCTAAAGGCTCTGAGGGGTCCACCCATTATTTGAACAGTAAGTCTGGGCTAGTTTTGTATTTTGCTTCTCTAAAAATGGTTTTCAGTTTTCTCTCCAGGACCTTCTGTTGTGATCCTGATCAAAGCAGTCTAGTAGTAGGGCACCACCTAGTTCTACTGGTCTCAGGAGTCAAAGCTTGGTTGGGGTGGTCATTAGCCCTTTGGACTAATGGTTTTCTTGAGTTCTGCTTTCTTCATTGTTTGCTCCAGAAGGGGAGAGATTTATAGTTGCTTCTTAGATGGCAGCTTGCAAGCTTTTTTTTTGCTTTTCCCTTCCACCACCACCCCACCCCCGCCACCGGCCTGCTTGCAAGCTTTTAAGACTCCCGGTGTTAGCAAAGAATGATCTAGAACATTGCCTATTGACATAGATGCCCCCTCATACTGTGGTCCTAAGTCCCCAGGCTCAGGGAGTCATTTCAAGGTGTTTGGTTATACTAAGTAGTTTTCAGAATGTTGGCCCCTGTATGTTCTATAATAATATATTTACAATACATAAAAATACATATACATAGATCAGGAACCCTCAAACTTTTTAAACGGGGCCAATTCACTGTCCCTCAGACCCATTGGAGGGCCAAACTATAAAAGAAACTATGAACAAATTCCTATGCACACTGCACACCTTATTTTGAAGTGAAAAACAAAACGGGGCAAAATCACCTGGCAGGCCGGATAAATGTCCTCGCGGGCCGCATGTGGCCTGTGGGCCGTAGTTTGAGGAACCCTGAATATTCTCTGTCAGAGATATCCTCATGGGTGTACACCCATTCACCTTCCTACATCTGTTTGACTTACATTGTCTACCGATGTAAACTACTTGTACATGTTTGTTCCTGAAAACTAATGGTTTTCCAAGTTTGAAAGCCTGACAATTGTGAAGTAACACCTGTTTGAAAGCATGTTCGAGGTAAATCATTTGGCAGACCATTGTATTGCAAAGAATGTTACTGAATATGCTGAAATGGCTTTACATTCCTATTGGGAGTACTACATTCTGGAAATCAGAATTTTTAAAAATGGTGGTATTACCCCAGGTCATTGGTGCTAAAAAAGCCTAGTCCATGATGGATAAATGAAATCCATAGTAATATGGATTTTATGTCTATCAAAACCCCTAAAAGCCCTTTGCTAGTAATCAACAAGCTAATCTTGGCTCCTTGCTGGTTGGCTTTATAGATGCTTTTGCTAGGCGCTCTGTTCTGCAATTCAGCTAGCTGGATTCAGCTCGAGGTCAACCTGGCAGAACAGGTGCTCTGATGTGCACAGCATCTGTGGGAGATGCTAAGAGGCCCCGAGTCCAACTTCCTGTTTCAGAGACTGAGAACCTGACTTCCACAGAGCACTCTATCCACCAACCCTGAACTGACTGAGCTGCAGTGGAACATAACACAACGTCAGGCCCCAACACACAGGGTGCGCTCACTAGGTTTCTTGAGAGTTGCGAGTTCTCTGTGTCCTGTACCTGAAAACAAAAAACAAAAAAACAACCTCAAACGCCACTCCTTAGGGCAAGGATGTGGCATTGGTCCTTAGTGTGTGGGCAGTGACCGTTTCTAGGAGCTGTCTCACCCAGGCGGAGCTCTGGATGGGTGGCCCTTCCACATGGCGTGGGCACAGACGTGATTGTGAGCAGTGCTTGGACCCCATTCCTGAGGGTAGAAGTGGCACGGAGCCCTGGAAGATGTGAAGGGCAGCGTGGCCGTGTGGGATGCAGGCCTGTCCTCTAAGTCAGACACAAACTGGACTGAGTTTGTTCAGGCAAAATCAGGCTCTAGCTCAGAGGAGCGATGGAAAGAGAAATCAAACTGATCCTGTCAGCTTTACCCAACCTACTGCATTTTCCTACTACATGCTCAACATTTTGAAATTCAAATCACATTTATACCTTGGACATTGTTAGAAGACTATTTTTATCCCTGCTGTAATCATCTAATTTGCTGATTACAGGTCTCAAATTGCCACAGAGAACTCAATTTTTGAAAGAATTGTCCCGGTTGATCAAATATGTTATTCAAGCAATGCAGTCATTTGTTCCACAAGGTTACCTGCCAGGCAAAGTTAACCAGGAGTAATAGCATTAGAAGCCTATACTTAAAATCAAGCATTAGCTAATCTGCCTGTGACAATAGAGACTTAAATATAATTTGCTGCAGATACTTCAGTTCCTGTGCCGACAATTGCATTTTGTATTCAATGAGCATAGATTTTTTTCTTACCGCTTCTCATTTCCAAATTTAGCTCCAGAGGACTTTAATGTGTTCCATTGACACGCTTATCGGGTGCTGTTTCCCGGGAGCCGCAGGCGGAGGGCAATGCGGTCTGTTATTGACTTAAACCATCTCCCCCTTTAAATCATGTTCCTGATCAATGCCAGGTCCACTAATGGTGGCTTCCTTTGGAACCCACCAAATCAAGCTACTTCAGGATGGTCACCTGGGAGGCAGGTAACCACCAAGCACGATGAGGTCCAAACCCAAACAACCAAATCCGACACCACCTCCACACAGGCTTTCCATGCCTGAAATCTTCATGGAAGCAGATGGACAAGTCTTCCTTCCGTGGTTAGAACCTCCCACCTTTTTGTTGAGCCACCCAAGGACTCAAGGTTAAGGGTCCGAAGAGGTGGTCTCTGAAAGCAGAGAGGTGAAGTAGTGAGCTCTCCCAGCATTCAGTGCTCACCAATGGGTGGAGGAAGGAGGAAGGGGAGGCAGGAAAGTTGACAGACCACATCACCAGGAGCTTTTGCGTGCTGTCAACCTGAGGATGGGCGTGTCCCCACAGCAGGAAGCCGGTGTGTGGAAAGGGAGGGTGATAGCACGGAGCCCTGCCATGAAGGCAGGTGTGAGGAGCAGGTTGGAGCTCTGCCCTTTTCCATCAGGTGAAATTGGGATAGTCCACAGTACATGGCAGACGACAAGGAAAGCAAGCGGGGCATCAGGAAAAATAAGCTGAATCACAGCTCCGAGTCAGGCCCAAGGGACTGTCTCTTGAGGTCACCAGAGTGATTTTTGCCCATGCATTCTCTCCCTGGGCAAGCCCACTGCTCTGAGGCTTCAGTGCCACCAGCCGTCCCAGGCTCATCTCCAAATCACATCCTCAAGATTCCAGTCAGGCTTCAGACCAAAGGTCTACCTGCTAGGCGGGGTCTCTGCCTGGGCAATCTCTCCACTCAACAAGCACTTTACCATCTTCTAAGGAAATTCTGATTTGACCTTCTATTGTCAACACACAATAAACAAGTGAAAATGACTCAATTCACAGACTATTAGGGAGATGCAAAATAAAATGAGGCAGCGCATACCCGTCAGATTGACAAAAATGAAAAAGCAGAGACTACTGCAATGGATATCCACACACACCCCCTGCTTAGATTTGCCAAAGTTGTTTCACAGCATATATAAAAACAAATGCTTTAGCACAGATAAGAGTTGGAAGTCCCCCCACACCTCTACCTAGCTTCTTCCTCCACAGAGGAAGCCCTCACCTGAGATGGGTGAGTCCAGTCCCCACAATTACTTCTAGACCTTTATCGCTTATCCTTAGATCCACAAGGAATGACATGGCTTTGGATGTTTACAATACTGACATACATGGATCCACACCTGACACTTCACAATACCACATGCTATTTTCTTTCAACATTATTTCCAGATTTATCCACGTGGATACATTAAGATGAAGTCCACTCATTAACCATTTTAGGGTGATCCTTTGTGTGAATACATCTTGATTTATTTCTTTATTCCCTCCAATCCTGGTCTACAAGTTGGTTTCCAATGTTGTCACCATTATTGACAATGCAATAATCAATATCTTGTGCACACATGTCCCCTGGGTATGAATTTCTAGAGATGTAGAACCGTTGTGTCAAAGGGCACATGCCTTTCTGCAACCTTACTGCCACAATGTGCCAATTTATGCTGCTCCTCACAGCTACACCAGCACTTAGGATTGCTAGGCTTTTCTTCCCATTAAAATGGCTCCACTATAACTTTCTTAGGTTTCCTGTTATGAAAGTAACATTTGTCTGTTAAACTTCATTAGAACATCACAAACATATACAATGTAGGGAGTGAAAATTCTCCATGGATGGCCACTCTTAGCAGTTTGGGTGTTAAGGCAATGCAATGCATATTGTTCCAGAGGCTTCCTGCACACGCTACCATCTCAATAATGAGAATGTGCTGTTTTCCCCACAGGCTTCTTAGCCTCTGTGGTATCCCCTACAGCAGTTTTAAACGCACAAACTCACTTCCTTTTTGCTTAGATTCTTCGGTGACTGCCTGTCAACTGTTTGCATTGTCTAGTGGAGGGTCTACTACATAAGAGCTCACTAAATATTTGCTTAGGGAACGAATGAGTAGATAAATTGATTTTTACATAGATAGCCGCTTCCTTTACATTTCTAACTTTGCATGCTCAGGATTAACACATGCCATCGTTTCCCAAAGGATCCCTGGTGGCACAGTGAGTTAAGCGTGGGGCTGCTGAAC